CAGTTTCAGCAGCGGCTGAATCTGGACGCCAGTTCCGACTTACATACAGATTCAACTTAAGAACAAACCTACAGTCCCTATCTTGTACGTAACCCGGGGACTGTCCGTATTAAGATCAACAGTGCAGTAATTATATGCAAACACATTCCCTTACATCATCATAGAATACTATAACTGGAAGGAACCTCAAGAGGTCATCAAGTCCAGTCCTCTGCCCTCATGGCATGCCCAAGCACCATCTAGTCCATGTCATCCCTGATAGATGCCTATCTATCCTGCTGTTAGTGATGGAGATTCTACAACCTCCTTAGGCAATTTATTCCAAGCACCCTGACAGTTAGGAATTTTTTCCTAATGTCCAACCTAAACCTTTCCCTGCTACAATTCAAGCCCCATTGTTGCTTCTTTCAGAAGCCAAGGAGAACATTTTTTCTCTCTCCTGCTATCATCTTTTTAATACTGACTGACACCTTTTACATTGGGATCCCTGGCTATACAATAGTTTATCAGACCAGATTAAAAAAAAATAAAGCTAATGTTAATGTATGATAATACAGAGGTTAAGAGTCCAAAGGCAGCACGTTAAGTTATTTTTGCCATCTCTCCTATAAACAGCACTATACTCCTTCCTATAAAGAACACTCAGGAAAACAAACTGTTATTTCTGAATGGGAAGGTACAATGGGGGAAGTACAGATTAAAATTCTCAATAGCCATTATGCAAAGAAAACCCAAAAATAGGAATAGTATTGAGCTAATTGAGGCATTTCAACCTGGCACATGGGCAGTAATTGGAGTTCTGTGGAAAGTGATTAAACTTGACCTAATGCTTCCCAGGTAAAATATTTCAACCTGGCACATGGGCAGTAATTGGAGTTCTGTGGAAAGTGTTTGATTAAACTTGACCTAATGCTTCCCAATTAAAATAGTATAGAGTTCCAGGAATGTTTCGTTTCTTCTGCAGTTCAGAAGTTGTAAAATGTAGAAATTACCACTGCATTCTAATGAATCTAGTCCAATATAGAAGAACATTACGTAGCTAAAATTGGCATTTTGCTACTTCCTACCTGTACTCTTACACACTGGTGCCTGTCTAAAAACAGCTCTTTAAGGTTTGATGTTGATAATCTAGTCGGAGATGGTTTAACAGAAGAGTTATTAGAGCCACTTGTTTTTTTCCAGGCGCTTTCCAGCCCCGGCCAGTAATAATCCCATACCTTGAAGAACAAAGGCAAGCACACAGTGCCAGAATGGGGAAGAAACAAAAAACAGGACTATGTAGCACTTCAAAGTAGAATAGTGGTAGAAATGTAGCCGTGTTAGTCTGAGGAAGTGGGTCTGGCCCACGAAAGCTCATCAGGTAATAAACCATCTTGTTAGTCTCAAGTGCTACCTCCTCCTGTTTTTTGTTTCAGCTGCATTTCCATCAGAATGGGGAAGGTCTGACTCTTGAGGGCTTCCCCCAGCACGTCGCACTTCCAGCAGCGAACCACATGCTCGTGCAGCTGGAGCCTCGATCTGTGCAGGGATGTGTCGGATCCCTTCTGAGGTAACACTGGTGTTCAGCAGAGCCCGCTGCCCTGGGGCTGACGCGGAGGGCTGGGGGCGGGGAGCTCTGCATTTCCATCAGAATGGGGAAGGTCTGACTCTTGAGGGCTTCCCCCAGCACGTCGCACTTCCAGCAGCGAACCACATGCTCGTGCAGCTGGAGCCTCGATCTGTGCAGGGATGTGTCGGATCCCTTCTGAGGTAACACTGGTGTTCAGCAGAGCCCGCTGCCCTGGGGCTGACGCGGAGGGCTGGGGGCGGGGAGCTCCGCGAAGCGCCAACGGGCCGTAAAGGGCCAGTGAAACGAAGGCGCCTGACTCCGCTGGTGGGAGTGGGGCGTCCGCGTTGCCTGCGCC